AAAGGAAAGGTTATTGACTTCTTTTTAAAAGGAAAGGTTATTGACTTCTTTTTCTCGAGTTGTTGGTTCTTACAAATAACTACTCAATACCCAAGTAGGCTTACACTCATAAAGTTGATCATGATATGATCAAGTGCTTTCTGGGTTGTCTTAGACCTTATGATTGGTATTTAGTCCCAAAAAAGTTGGGGCTCCATAAATGGTTTACTTGTTACTAATATAGTCTAACCTTTTTATTCTTTAGACCCCCCGTTTCACTCCGATAGTATTATGGATCATATTAATGCATAGGAAATGAATGCATTTTCATACTATTAAATTCAATCTTAAGTAACTGAACTGGATAAACTATATTTATTTCAGTTATTATACTGGATTTTACGGAGCCGGTTCATGTACAACATGATTTGGACTTGATCATAGAAATTATTTTCTTCAAGCGAAGTGAACCAGCCTATCCTCTGTATAGGGCTTACCCGGCGGTTGGAACAAAGACACATTTACTTGTGAATTCCAAGGCTAATGTGGCAGGCATAGAGCTACATAGACTAATAAAGAGTTCAAGTCACACACTCCCATAATCCATTTTTTCTTCATAGAATTCCCTTCAACTACTTCTATCAAATATCAAATTGGGGAGTTGAAGGGAAATATCCAAATCCATGTCTTAATGTCTTAATTATTTTCAATAATCCACGGTTAATAGCAATGAAATGCTTTTATTCCTCCTCCAAATGATTTTTTGTTCGAATATGTATTTTCTATAACGGGCCAGAAATACCCTGTTTACGTATCATTAGAAAGTGCATTAACATAAATACGGCAGTAAGAAGCGGCAATACAAAAGTATGTAAACTATAAAAACGAGTCAAAGTGGACTGTCCCACACTAGCACTTCCCCGTAATAATTCTACCAAGGGCGATCCGATTACAGGAATAGCATCAGGTACACCTGTTACAATTTTCACTGCCCAATAACCAATTTGGTCCCAAGGTAAGGAATAACCAGTTACACCAAAAGATGCGGTTAATACAGCCAGAACCACACCTGTAACCCAAGTTAATTCGCGAGGTTTTTTAAATCCACCAGTAAGATACACACGAAATACATGAAGAATCATCATTAAGACCATCATACTGGCCGACCATCGATGAACTGAGCGGATTAGCCAACCAAAATTAGCTTCAGTCATTATGTATTGAACAGAAGCAAAAGCATCAGTAACGGTCGGACGATAGTAAAAAGTCATAGCAAATCCCGTAGCTACTTGTACTAAAAAACAAGTAAGCGTAATTCCCCCTAAACAATAAAATATATTAACGTGCGGAGGGACGTATTTACTAGTTATATCATCTGCAATCGCCTGAATCTCGAGACGCTCTTCGAACCAATCATAGACTTTATTGAGATAGGCGTAATTCCCCCTCTGAGAACTATAGATGAGACTTTCATCTCGTATAGCTCAAGCAAAACCACCCAAAGACTGGTTACAACAGAGATCGAATATAAATAAGGTTTGAAACTTTTTTATTTTGAATCAAAGATTCAATCTTCTCTGAGGGTATGAAGGAAGAAAATCCGAACGCTCTTCTGTGTTTGTGGCGATAATACCAAAATCTCAAGTTGGCTCAGTCATCTTTCTGTTGAGCCTTACAGGCCTCTTGAATCGTCTCTTTTCCTATTTCGTTTTTAATTTTTTTATTATTACTTTATTATTAATATTATTAATTATTATTGATAGAAATTCTCTTGTTAAGAATCCTATGAATTGATTAAAACCTCAGATTCATACTAGAACCGTGATGATTCAATAATAAAAATTTTAAGTTAAGTCAAGGATTCTACGAGTAAGAACCCTCGGTCCATCACTTAATTCTACAAATAGAATTAGATAGAATGACTAATAATTCAAATAATTTTCTTTTGTCAAAATCAAAATAGAAGAAAAATCTTGCGATTTTTCAATTTCGAAATCGTTGAAAATTTTTTTGAGTCCGGATACAATATGAGGTCTGAACATTAAGTATGAATCATAGTTCAAATAGTTCTTAATCTATTTCGTGTTCCGGATATTATAATAAATATCCGACGAAATAGAACCACCTTTGTCAAGCAAGATGACAGACGCATTATCTGTACTATCAATAGGATCAATTTTAACAAGTCACACACTCATATTCCGGAAATAAAAAAACAAAGAAATTTCGCGATCAAACTCCCAAAATAGAATGTGCTCAAAATATGAGTTCTAAACGATTCATTTTGTAGTCAAAAGCTAGCCCTTACGGGTTCTTATAGATCTAATTCATTCCAATTCCATCCAATAAAACGGAAGAATTATAAATCTCCAAAATAATAGATAGAAATACCGCAAAGAGAGCCATTGCGACACCCATTAAAGGGGTTGTTCCCCACCCTGGGGCTACTTTACCATATTCCGAATTCAATGGTTTTAATAAACTACCTACAGTAGTTTGTCTTGGACCAGATCTAGAACTGTTCTCAACAGTTTGTGTAGCCATAAATCCTATTGTATTCATTTTCATTAAGATTGGTTGACTTTGTATACCATTCCGTTGTAAATGTAAATAAAGGATCTTATGCTAGATCCGTTGGGGTCTTGAAATTATATTTATATAATAATAATAATGGAAACAGCAACCCTAGTAGCCATCTTTATATCTGGTTTACTTGTAAGTTTTACTGGGTACGCCTTATATACCGCTTTTGGGCAACCTTCTCAACAACTAAGAGATCCGTTTGAAGAACATGGGGACTAATTGAAGTAAAAAGCCTCCCAATATTGGGAGGCTTTTTACTTCAATTGAGATAATGAAAAATCATTTTATCTTTTTAGTTTGAATTTTAGGAGGTTCTCGAAAAAAGATAGCGAAAAAAATTATCCCTAGAGTCGAGACTAAGAGGAATGTATAAACTAGTGCTTCCATAGATTCGATCGAGGTTTACAATTATAGCTTCCATACCTGTTTGTTTCTTTTTTTTTTTTTGGAATTATTATTATTTATTATCTCTAGACTAAAGAATAAATTAAAGAGAAAGAGTCAAAAAGGGGTGATCCAAATCAAGATTTCTTTGGTACCCTATAACAAAACAAAACCAAATTTCAAAAAGAAAATCGAGGCGTAAAGATAGTAAAGCGGTATTGTATCAGACTGCTTGTCTTTTTGTAGTTGGATCTCCAAGTTTTTGGAATGCTCCAAATTCGACTTGCGCATCCAAATCTGGGTCAATACCAGCAAAAACATCTCTGAACAAGGTTCTAGAACCATGCCAAATGTGCCCGAAGAAGAAAAGTAAAGCAAATGAGGCATGTCCAAAAGTAAACCAACCCCTTGGGCTACTACGAAAAACACCATCGGATTTCAACGTAGCACGATCTAGTTCAAAAATTTCACCCAATTGAGCGCGTCTAGCATATTTTTTCACAGTAGCAGGATCGCTATAACTGACTCCATTGAGTTCGCCACCATATAACTCAACAGTTACGCCGACTTGTTCCACACTATACTTCGATTCCGCCCTTCTAAAAGGAACATCTGCTCTAACAATTCCATCACCGTCTACTAAAACAACTGGAAATGTTTCAAAAAAAGTCGGCATACGACGTACAAAAAGCTCCCGCCCTTCTTTATCTCGAAAGATGGGGTGTCCTAACCATCCAACCGCTATTCCATCGCCGTTATCCATTGAGCCCGCCCTGAACAATCCTCCCTTTGCGGGATTATTTCCAATATAATCATAAAAAGCTAATTTTTCAGGAATTTTAGACCACACTTCTGATAAACTTTGATTTTCGGCTAGACCCGCACTAACCCTTCGATATATCTCTTGCTGAAAGTACCCTTGATCCCATTGATAACGAGTGGGCCCAAATAATTCGATTGGAGTAGTTGCTGAACCATACCACATCGTTCCGGCAACAACAAAAGCTGCAAAAAAGACAGCAGCAATACTACTTGACAGTACGGTTTCAATATTTCCCATACGTAATCCTTTGTATAGACGTTGTGGCGGGCGGACGCTAAGATGGAATAACCCCGCTAATATGCCCAATGTACCTGCTGCAATGTGATGAGAGGCTATTCCTCCAGGAACAAAAGGATCAAAACCTTCCACACCCCATGCCGGATTGACAGGTTGTACTTTTCCGGTTAGCCCATAGGGATCAGACACCCATATTCCAGGACCATATGAGCCCGTTACATGAAATGCACCAAAACCAAAACAAGCCACTCCTGAAAGAAATAAATGAATTCCAAAGATCTTAGGCAAATCCAAGGAAGGTTTTCCTGTGCGCTCATCGCAAAATATTTCTAGATCCCAGTATACCCAATGCCAGATAGCTGCCAAAAAGCATAAACCAGAAAACACAATATGCGCACCAGCTACACCTTCATAACTCCAAATACCTGGATTTGTTGCAGTACCCCCTGTGATACTCCAACCACCCCACGAATTGGTAATTCCTAAACGAGTCATGAAGGGTATAACAAACATACCCTGTCTCCACATTGGATCAAGAACAGGGTCAGAAGGATCAAAAACTGCTAATTCATACAGAGCCATCGAACCGGCCCAACCAGCAACCAGAGCCGTATGCATTATATGAACAGAAAGCAACCGGCCGGGATCATTCAATACAACAGTATGAACACGATACCAAGGCAAACCCATGGAAATACCCCTTTATCAAAAATAAATAGACACTATGTAACTTTATTGCAGTGGGAAAGACTGTACTATGACTATTCTATGTACCTCCCCTATTCAGTGGATTATTTCCGAACAAGGGCTAATATTTGTTCTATTCTGTTGGTAATAATAATGAAATAATGGAACAACTCTGTTCGTAGGAACAAAGCTAAGCAGATTTATTCTATACTCGATAAGTACCAATACGCAATGGGGGTTGATACCAATTTCTCTGAGCGAATGCGCCCATACTTATTCATCCCTCTATTCCTAAAAATTGGACTTTATTCATTCATTTTTTCTTTATGATTTTTTCTAATCTATGGATAAAACTAATCTATGGATAAAATAAATACGAGATAAGTCTATATTATATTATAAAAACAATAAACTCATTTTGTTACGTTTCCCCATCAAAGTGAAATACAGTACTTAGTTCTTTTTTCTTTCATTTAATGCCTATTGGTGTTCCAAAAGTACCCTTTCGAAGTCCTGGAGAGGAAGATGCATCTTGGGTTGACGTATAGTGCGACTTGTCAGACATATTGGGTCATATGGGATTTTCCCGTTTTCTCCCCTGAGCGAGATATCCTCTGTTTCGCCCAAGAAAGATTCAGTGAATCATCAGAAATTTGGAGCGTGAAGTTCAATTAGATTTAGATCTATTTTAGGGGATTAATATTACATTGCTTCGAATAATTTATGGTTGACTTGGTTGGATTAAAAAATGAAGTATTCAGGCTCTGTTTAGAAAAACCCAATTGATTGGTAATATATCTACATATCTACGATTCCTATTTTTAGACTAAAGGATTCCTATTTGGCTTATTTGTCAAGCGAGTTAGTGTTACGAAATATTTGTAATGTAAAAAGGTATGAAATACATTACAAGACAAAGGGCAAAAAGTCATAATAAAAAGAAGTGGTAATGGGGGCCTTTGTCCTATATGTACAAATAAAACTCAGTCAAATCTTTACCCAGAGTAGAGCATAAACCTAAAAAGGCGAAACAGACCCAATCAGTAACAAGAAAATACCATCGTGATTTGGATTGAATTTCGATGAAATAATACATCAATGAGAAGTTAATTCAATGAGTTTAGTGACGTTTTTCTTTTTTTTATAATTTATTTTATATATATCTAGTCAAAAACTCGTATATCTATTGAAGAAGAAAAACCCTTTCGTTAGAAGACAAAAAGAGCCTGTTATCAGAAAAGAAGGAGGACTGGAATCTATACATTGATTACATTGATTCTTTTTTTATTTTCGCAATTTGTTTTGAACCGTATGCATCAAAAGGTGCATGTACGGTTTCTAAGGGATACACTTGAACCCTAATCAACCGACTTTATCGAGAAAGATTACTTTTTTTAGGCCAAGCGGTTGATAGCGAGATCTCAAATCAACTTATTGGTCTTATGATATATCTCAGTATCGAAGATGATACCAAAGATCTGTATTTGTTTATAAACTCTCCCGGGGGCTGGGTAATACCTGGAGTAGCTATTTATGATACTATGCAATTTGTGCGACCAGATGTCCACACAATATGCATGGGGTTAGCCGCCTCAATGGGATCTTTTATCCTGGTCGGGGGAGAAATTACCAAACGTTTAGCATTCCCGCACGCTTGGCGCCAATGGGTTTTTTGAGACAAAAAACAAAAAAGAAGACTATGCCTTCGCCCTATTAAATATGAATAGTAAGTAATAATGGACTATTAAGTAATAGTAGCATGGCACTTCGAATTCGATATGATAAATAAAATTTTGCATTGTCAACAAATTAGATTATGTATCGAGAGGGTAGTATGAGATAAAGGATATTTCCGATTTTCTCTTATTTTATTTATCGGACGTCCAGTTCAGCGTCACAAGCTCTTTTGTTTTTGGCTCTTAACATTAACACTATTTCTATTATGTAAAGAGTAGCAAAAAAATAAGATTTTTACTTATTTTTATTTCATTGGATTGGATCAAAAAGAAACTTTGGGATTGCTGAATTACAGAGAAAACAAATACTAAGTAATATAGTAAGTTAAGGCAACGGAGCCATCATAGTATTTTTATAGTATAGTATTTTAAAATATTCCAAAAAAAAAAGAAGGGTGGCATTTTGATCATTTGACTGTCTGAGTTTAATATATTCGTCTCTTTCTTCAATGGCAGGGAGGAGTCAATTTGAGTGTCGAGCCGTATGCATATGCAATGCACAAAAGATGCCCGTACGGTTATTTAATTCTATCTTTTATATTCTTTTTTATATTTCTTTTCTCTTGACTTCATCAGCACCCCGCGAGATAGAGGGACTTTTTATTATGTTATATCATCAGGGTAATGATCCATCAACCTGCCAGTTCATTTTATGAGGCACAAACGGGAGAATTTATCCTGGAAGCGGAAGAACTGCTAAAACTGCGCGAAACCCTCGCAAGGGTTTATGTACAAAGAACAGGCAAACCTTTATGGGTTGTATCTGAAGACATGGAAAGAGATATTTTTATGTCTGCAACAGAAGCACAAGTTTATGGAATTGTCGATCTTGTAGCGGTTGAATGAAAATAACATGAATTTCACGCAAATCTATGATTTGATTTGCAATTTTATCTCTCAATTTAATTCATAATCATTCGGTTAGGATCAATCTAAACCAGTACATTATGTATACAATTCAGTATGCCAACTATTAAACAACTTATTAGAAATACAAGACAGCCAATCAGAAAGGTCACAAAATCCCCCGCTCTTCGGGGATGCCCTCAGCGTCGAGGAACATGTACTCGG